AGCACACTTAACTTAAAACTAACGCACGCGTACAATTAACTTAAAACTAACGCACGCATCCCTCGATGGTCCCTCGATGATCCCTCGATGATCCCTCGATGATCCCTCGATGGATGTCTTCAATGATGACCTATTCATTAACTACAGAATAATTAGACGTAACAATAAAAAGAGAAAACGGAAAAACAAATGCAATATTAGTAACATTATAATGTTTAGGCATGCACAATTCGTGTCGACATATAAATTTATATTAACATTTTCGAAATAAAAGTGAAATAAAACACGAGTTGACTCTATAAAAATACGTAAATAAAATTACAATATACTTGGAAAATATTCAATTACTTAAAATTAAAACCTGTAACATAAAAATGTAATTAAGACACACCGAATAAAATTAAGACACATATGAATAAATAAACTGCTACATAAAATTAAAACCTGAAACATACAAAAATGATTAAGACAAATATGAAACATTGAAAATTACTTACATAAAATTAAAACCCTAAATGTGCCTTTTATTCTAAAATTGCACTCGTATAATGTAAAAGTAAGTAAAGAAAAGAGTAAAAGAAGAAAGTTGGAAGAACTTTCTTTTAATTTTAAAGCAACTGTTGATAAAAATGATAGGCTACTATTACAAACTAATATCTAACAAGTTAAAAAATTGTCGTCAAGATGAGTGCAAGTTAGAATAAAAGGCACAATTTGCGTAAGTTTTTCGTCACAAATCGTGACGAAAAACTTACGCCCGAGCCCACCCTTCCTCCCACAGCTCGGAATTAACTTAAAACTAATGCACTGAACATAACTTACCAAGAATTAAATTCTGAAACAGACAAAAATTTATTAACATAGAAATTTGAGAAGAGAGAACATGTTAACTTACCAAAAAATAAAATTTGAAACATACAAAATTTTATTAACCAATAAAATTGTACGAGAAGAAGTGAAACAACCCTATCGAGAAACAAAAAACACAATGAAAAATACGAATTTACAATCAATCAACAATAAAACAATTTATTCAAAATCAATTCCTGAAACAGAGAAAAATAATTAACATATAAAATTCAGGGAAATTAAAATCGCGAAAGGGTATACAAAAATTTTTAATTTCGTAATTTAATCGCGAAGGGATACAACAATTTTTAATTTCGTAATTTAATCGCGAAGGGATACAAAAATCTCTAATCTCGAAATGTAATCGCGAAGAGATGCAAAAATTTCTAATTTCGTACTGTAATCGCGAAGGGATGCAAAGATCTCTAATTTTGAAATGTAATCGCGAAGGGATGCAAAAATCTGTAATCTCGAAATGTAATCGCGAAGGGATATAAAAATCTCTAATCTCAAAATTTAATCGCGA